GCACAATTTCAGCCAAAATTTAGATCCTCCATTTAGATAATGGTAGGATTGTCAATTCGCTATTCCAAGCTTATTTCCAACATCATAGACTTCTTCATGAAACATCGTGTTCTTAGACCTCAAAACAAAAAGATATTGCTGAAAGGAAGAATAAGCATAACTTAGAAACTGCTTGTGTTTTATTAATTGGAGTGGATGTGTAGTCGTCACTAGGATGAAAGATGCAAAGAAATAATAATAATAATCAAAGACAGATCGGATATAAAAAAATATTTTGTGCATTCCAAATTTATTCTGAACTCGCTTTCTGCTGCCAATATCTAACAAATAAAATGTTTATGGACTAAAATCGCTTAAAAAGATCATTCAATACTCTTGGAAATTTGAGAAACATCTTCACTGCAGCTTCAAATAAAAGAATTCCTGCCATGAGTTTTAATTTTCTTTCTCCACTATAAGATTCAAAACAGGTAAAAATTTTATAGTCCATATTCTGCATCATTTAACAAATTATCAAAAACCATCCCTTCAAAAATGTACACATTTCAACTATTTGCTGGTGATGCAAAGGCGCTGCATTAATACATTTTTCTAGAGCAACAGGCAAAAACACCAGAGATAAAGAAAACCATATTTATAAACTGGTTTTGGCTATTTGATTGATAACTTGGCAGCATGAAGCGTTACTTGAAGCTCTAAACACTGCTTTAACAATAACCACTCAACAACTTTCAGCACCTTTTAGAGCTTCCAAGCATTGCAAAAAGCCTTTCATTGGCAGCACTAAGTTTAATATTATTACAACAAAGAATTGCAGATGTGGCTAGGCCATAACATGCGAGAATCTTAGTGAAGCTGCGCCGACATCATGACCTAGACACAACGAATGTCACTTCATATTCAACCATAAACAATACCAAAGCTCATTTTACTGCTACTGATATAAAAGCCACAATGTTTATGTGATTTAAGTTCTTAACAAATGTGATACTAGCATCCTAGTAGCATTATATCATTTCTATCTAGTACGTATGCAACATCATTACTAGCACGTCATAACAATATTTTCACACTGTTGGTATGCATGCCATGTTACCTAAACTATGCCCTTGTTTGATGGGGGATTAAACTCAAATTTTCAGTTGATTTTGATATAAGTTGATGAAATCTATAGTTGAAAAGTTATGGATCCCATAAAATTTGTGGTTAAAATTATTTGTTCAAAAAATTGACTTGGATTAAAATATAAATTCTTATTTCTACCAAACAGGGATTATTAATTTAGTATAACATCGTATTTCTTGCTTTACGCCAGCAAGTGTGGTCTTATTATGATTTTACTTTATTTTGAGGGCAAACGGGCGCCAATCTATTTTGCATGTGTAGTGGAGGTACTGTATTATGTTTCAAGTTGATTTAGTCCACATTATAGAGGGGATACTATCAAAATTTTGATAAATTATGATATTACGAAAGCAATTCGTAAGTCCTTACTTATTCAAGCTGCTCATATTTTAGAGGCTATCTGTCCTCATATCTCAAAGACTATTTGCAAGTATTTATCTATTCACGACAATTCATATTTTCGAGGTAATTTATAAGCTCTCCTAGTTGATAACTTATATTTCAAAATTCAATTCGTACATGAATATACAACTCGGACTTAGAGGTCTATTATTATATCTATAAATTATGAGGCATGCAAGTGACAGAAGAATATATGCCTACTCGACATCGATTATTCAATTGGATTGAGCTTATTTAATCAAATAACCTCATCTTGGGTTGGATTCCGTCTATTGGCCCATTTTTATTGCTCTATATATACGTGAGTTCACTTCACACTTAAGGTAATGTTTTCTAATTTTAGCCTACTTTCCTGTCTCTTGTGCTTATTCTCTCTCATCCTACAATCGACTTGATCGTTAGAATACAAATGATTGTCAGACTTTTTTCTCGATCAATGACATTTACCTCCTAATAATGTGTTCTAGATAGGTGTCCATCGGATTTTGATGTCGACAAGATGGAAGATTATAAATGGATTTGTGGGAAGATGCTTCTAAACTTGGAATATTTATTTGAGAGCTTATGAAGTATATGTGTTAGGTTTTAATATCAGATGCGTTTCTGTTTTACTTTGATTTTGCTGCTGTTATTGTGCATGTTCACATATTAGTAGCATTTTATTGAAGATACAAAAAAATAAAATAAAAAAAACACATTTACTGTTCTGGATTTTTATTGCAATATTCTAGGTTTTGGTTTCAAAATATTTCAATGTTAGTGTAATTCATGAGTTATATTGATCCCCTTGACAATAACATTTTCCATTATTTCAATTGATGATTTGTTGTAATTTAATTAGTTACATATAGTTCTACGAAACTGTTGTTTAATGGATTTGTTTATAATTTGAGCAAGAGAATCGTGAATAATCTGTATTTTTATAATTTTTTCTTCACATTTTTATAATCTCGGAAATGGCATTTGGAGATGCAGGAATGTTTGGAAACAGCAGATTGGGAAATGGCTGAAATCAGATGACAATGCACTAATAGATACCACTATTAACATTGTTGGTGGAAAGGTGAAACGGGCAGTATCACTTAAACTTAATGTAGAATCTGGAGAATTGGATTTAGAAATCTAGTGGAATCCTCCAGAACAACAGTGTTTCGTCTGTATAAGATGTTCTTATTTTGATGGAGAATATGATTTTGAGTAGACACAAAAGCAAATTTGGTTCACCGTTGACGTGATTCATATTGCTGCCTTTTAATTTACGAAAACAAGGCAAGAGACAAGAGGATAGCTGTTTTCAATGTGTCTTAAGGTGGACAAAACGATTTCTGGTATATAGTAAAAAATGCATTATTTTCTTTGTTCGAGTAATACAAGGGAATTAGAATTATCTTTATTTGTTAAATATGCAATTAGGCAACCTTAATCTAGACTCTACTAATTCATAATATAACCTCCAGCAATATTGATAACACTGCACCCAATAACAGTTAAGATAATTACTTTTTTCCTATTCTTTAGTCATTTTCAACATTGTTTGGCGTAGCATGTTAGACATGACAATCACACAAAAAGATCGGAAGATCCTAAATTGTTCAAAGTTCTTCATTGAAGCTGTAAAATGTTCTTATTGCTAGTTTTTCTTCTCCAACTATAAGATTGAAATGAAGGCATAAATTATGTAGCCCTTCAAATTCTTCATCATCAAAGAAAATTCAAATTTATGCAGAAACTGAGAAACCATTCTGTGCAGGAGATGACATAATGCACTTTTTCACAACTTTGGGCAATGACTCATCAGAGTACCACCCATTTGGCAAGCACTCTCTACCCACATACAGCACGACTTGGCAGCACGACTCGGTCAGCGGATAGCCAAACACTACTGTCAAAAGGTCGACCACACTGCAACCTTCAAGATGTTGTCGATTTCTCAAGCAAGGGTAAAACTTCTTGGCAGCGTCCACCACCTCGGCTGCTTCGGGTACTGGCGCGACATGGCCGATGTCACCATGGATGCCACCATAAACAATGCTAAAACTCCCTTTGCAGCTACTGCTTTATATGCCATTATTTTTATCTATGTAACTTCTTAAGAGGTATAATAGGGAGATTGGACATTTATTAAATTGGATATGTAGGGAGATACTTTAAACAATGCTGGTGTTAAATAACATTATTTTGATTAATTAGATATGTATTTTAAATGAAAATGTTTCACTAAAATAAATGTGCTGGCTTTTAATATGAAGTGTGTTTCAATTCTACTTGTACAAGTATTATTATGCATGTCATTATTATTTGCTTTTAATTAGAGATGAATAATTTGAAAAATTGAAGGTGACTTACTTTTCATTCTTTTACTAAATTCGAACATTTAATGAATTATATTTAAATCTGAAATGAGGATACTTCAATTTATATGGAGTTTTAAAATCCATCAAACTCTAGATTGAAGACATCCCCCTTATTGTAATTACATCACTTTGTTATATCGTTAAATTTGACCATCTGATTAATTATAAAGCAGTCTAGTTGGCAAAATTATTTTTGATTACATACACAAATAATGCTATTCTTAGTCAACAACGGAAGTACTCATCTTTATGTGATAGCTTGTTATTTGAGGCATTAAAGAATCATTTGAAGCAACAAAATATAAGAAATTAATGTTTCAAATAACAAACTGTCTTGTATAATGATTACTATAGAAAATTACTATTAATAGTATTGTTACGGCACCATTGATATGGAAAATTAATATGATGATGTACAAATAAACTAAAACAAAATAGAATTTAGTGAGCAAATTGAGAGTTATATGAATTTATTTATTTTTCAGAAGTTAAAAAATAAGTGGATCATTCGACAAATGATCAACAAAATTGCATTTGGGTCACTAGTTTCAATTTACTAACATCACGAGTCTAGTGATGCATTTTCGTGTTAGCAAAACAACTAAAATATTAAGCATATACCAAAGAATCATTTGGACCTTAAGCATGCAACATAACAGTCGAGATCCAGAACATGCTGCATAGCATTTGTGCTTGATAAACTACAAGAATATGAAAATGAAGGTGGATATAAGGGGAGCATAGTGGAGAAAGAAAATATATATAAACAAGCCAATACACAGCCATGCTTGAAATACCAAATAAAGATTTCAGTCCTGAAGCCCAAAATCCCATGAATAATCAGTATGGTGATAGGACCTATCTTCCAGTAGTTTAACTGAGCATGTATGGATCAACCCAACAGTTTAAAAAACTTTAAGATCAATGACATCAAAAATTTTATCTGAAAAGTTAGCAACTTCAAAAAAAATCAAACAAATAGTACTTCCTTGCTGACAATCTGCCATCAGAAAAAACTGGTTTGCAGTCTACAAGCTGAAAATCTAACCTTGCATCCAAATATAGCTGAAGAAAAGTGGCATGGAATTTGTATTTCAAGCACAAATCTTACCTTCGAAGTCATAAAACTAATAGTAATATAATTCAGAATTCCCATTCATTCCACAAAGGAGAACATACAACAATCTGTCAAAACGATAAAAAGGCGAGGAGGGTGATCGTTTTCTTACTCTACTAACACAAGCAAGCTAAACCTCGTTCTTGCTATTACATACTCCAAACCAAGATAAAGATAGAGAATAAATACCTACTGGCTACCGCTACTTCACTTCCTCTTTTTAGCTGGTGGTTGATCCTCCTCTTCCTCCTCCTCCTCTTCATCCTCATCATCCTCTCCATCCTCATCCTCATCACCGTCATCATCATCTTCATCCTCATCTTCACTGCCATCATTTCCATTGGCCACAGGGTTATCCTCGGGATCCCCTTCTTCTTCGTCTTCTCCCCCTTCTTCACCGCCCGAGAAGTCTTCATCACCATCGTCATCATCTTCCTGGCCATCAGCATCATCAGCATCATCTTCATCATCATCCTCTGTGTCACTTCCGTCTTTATTTTCAGGTCCAGGCTTTTCCCCTTTTTGAAGTTCGCTCATTGGAAACCTGCGGACATTTATCAGCCTCATTCATTTAATATTCTTCTCACAGGGATTGCATTATAATGAAAACAAAAATTACCTCTTCTCAGTCAAGTTTGGTAGCCCATCAACATTGTTCGAAAGAGTTTCTGTCTGTTAGCATAATTTCCACAGTCAGCGACAATTGAACAACACATCTATGACCACCATCACGAAAAGGATTTATAAACGAAATTTCTTAACGTACTACATCTGCACTAGTTCTATGTAAACAGATAGTTCCAAACAGAAATTGATCCACAACAAATACAATTCGATTAATAAGTAACACAGCATTCTACAAACTAAAAATGCCTTGTTATTAAGAAACTTCTGAACTTTATACAGATATAAAAACTGAGTTCAAAAAATTTGGGATGAAAGCACATTCAAGAGTCATTGCCTAAAAATTTAACACATGGGAATGTAAATGCCAGGAATAGCAACCACAGGGCAACAACTAGGGGATCTGAGAAAGTAAGTCCCTCAATAATAGATCAAGAAGATGTTTAAACGCAAACCAAGACAATAGGGACTCTGTGCTATAGTAATGTCTAAGAACTTGGATTATCTTTACCAAAAAGCTAAGATCCAAAAACATTTAATCTGAATAATGTACCAGTGCACCTCAGTGACCTCAGTGCAAAAACAATGCACCAAAAACTAGGGATTATCTTCATCAAATCTGGGAATTTCTTCTTTTGAATTCCACTAACTCTAGCATTTATTTTCAAAAGCTATTTATTGAGATGAAAATACTAATCTTCCATCATACTGTTAGAAATTGCAAGGCTTGAAGTTTTGGTTTTTCACCATCTTCTCAGTATTATTCCTTTTTCCTTAATTCTACAAACGTAAACTGAGTTCCAAGAAAAAAAAGGGCAAAAATCACTTTAAATTGAAAAGGGTATAATGATTGAATTATCTTGCATAGATTACAAAATTGTTAAAGCTCTGTTCTTAACGCACAGCATGAAAATTATTACGCATCTATGAATGTGGACCAAACATCATCCACATGCTCAAGTGTCTCAATTTCTTCCTATATCATTTAAATATGCCAACCCAAAATATTAGTATTCCAATATAACAGTTTAATTACCCATTCTAGGCAGTAAACACAATAGTAAAACAGTAAAAATCAATTCTTTCACATTGGTGTCCCCCCCCCCCCCCCCCCC